AAAGTTTATTATAGGGTGATCCTTACCAGTTACTTTTATACTTACGTATTGCATACCAGTTATATCTAACTAAGATAGAATAGACCTTCGAATAAGTGATCCAACTCTAAGACCACAACCAAACAAGGAACAGGAAGTAAAGCGAAGATCACAGATTCTAAGTCTATAGCATCTTAGTCACATATAACCTTAGCGTATCCACTCAGCAACTATAGACCTACCAGTAAGGATCTTTTTAGTTTTCACATAACTAAGTTATAGTACCACAAAATACTCCTATAGTATTTTAAGTTTATGTTAAGTTCTAGCGTTTCTTTGTAGAAGAGTTGGTAAGTTTTTAGACTTGTTGCAACACCACAACCATTCCTAGGCATATGCTAATCACTTCTCGGATAGATATAGTTGATCAGGCTATATCAATCCCAAACCTGATTATATATCCCCAAGCCTACTTGTGTTGTTCAACAACCACAATACTTTTGTTCTGTTCTAGTATGACACTGATCTGGTATGAATGCATGTATGTATACTTTAGTAAAATATTTGTTACATTTAAAAAGTATAACTCTTGGTCAGAGTGTTTTAATCCCATTGTATTTATAGTTGTATATCTTTTATGGGTTGATATACTCAGTTCACTATAAACAAAGCTCTTATACCAATCTGTCACACCCCCTTACCGAGTTGGCGGAAACATTCGGGGGCGGAGGACGTCATGTACAGTATCATAACAATGCACAATAGTAAAACAAGAAAAAAAAACATCCATTGCATTAATAATATAGTTAATACATGTGTGTTCTTTGTATAGTTGTATGACACCAAAAATGTATAGCAAAAAATAAAAGACGAGTCTTGAACATGCTCCGTCTTCTCAAAACCTGTGCTAGTGTACCTGCCTACTCGTTCCCTGAGAATACAAGTTATTTTGAAAGAGAGTATCAACATTTAAGTTGGTGAGTTAATAAGTATTTAGTGTCAAATGTTTGTAATTGTTTCATGAAAATGTTAGTATTCTTCCCAGAAAATCCTATATTTTCCACTTAAAATGAAAAGTAGTCTTTTACCCAAGACCCAACTGCTTGTATGTTTTGTTCTCTTGAAATAGTATAAATGTATGTTTGTACTTGAAATAGTATAAATGTATGTTTGTACTTGAAATAGTATAGATGTATGTTCTCCATATTTGTAAACTATCTTTACTAGAAAAATAGTATGCCTTGTTTATGTGTGAACATCATTGTGTGTATGGAATGGAAGATAATAGCTTTTAGTAGTTTTGTTTAAAATAAAACCACTGAAGAAATGTTTTTCTTGTAAACTTGTTTAGTTAATGCTTAATGTGAATGAGATTATAACCATACTAAATTGACTAGTATAAAACACGACGTTCTTCAGGCGTCGAAAAAGATATGACATTTGTCACCCGTAGACCTGCCGGTCCCAGCTGTAGCTAACAGCAAGGTGTGGGATTGTCAGTCCCGTATAGATATATACACAAACTCATGCTCTCCCTCCTGGAGACTCTGGTTATAAAACATGACTTAGCAAGAATGTTGCTACGTACCATGAAGTAGTATTTCACATTCTAGTTAACTTGTTTACGTATAGTATGTATATGTTTCTTGTTCTTGTAAATGAGCAGTGTACATTGTAATGAAAAGTAATAGTATGTATCTATTGATTCGTGTATTGTTTCTCTGATCTAGAAAATAGTATGAATTGATTCTCTAAACTATACCTATTTTAGTTTACTAGTATGTTTGTTTGAATTGTGAATGATTTGGAGAAAACACTCATTTGCCTAACATATGCAATTGAGTTAAGTATGTATTTTGAAAATGAGATTTAATATTCATGTATATATTTAGCATGTATAATTATGATTTAGCAAATAATCGGACTAGTGATCCTACCCTAAGCCCACAACCAAACAAGAAACAGGAGTCAAGGTATTAGCAATAGTCCTAAGTCCGCTAAAACCTAATTATACATAAATATACAAAGGAATATGATTTTGATATAAACAGAAATCTAAAACAGTTTAAAAGAGTTTGAAAATGATTTTTAACAATATTCATAAGCATAAGAATTCCTTTGTTTGTTTGTTTTCACATGTAAGTGTTAACACAATTTCATTGTGTTTTACTTGTATCCCCCCTAAAAACATTGAAAAAGGTAAATTATAGGGGTATGAACTCACCTGAAGTGAGTGATTCGTTTGAAGGTTCGATATAGGATGTTGTTCCACAAGTTAGATCCTGTGACAAAAACGAGTCCTAATAGCATTTCACGTAATATATATGTATACAATTAGTGAATATAATGACAAGTACGTTAAGGAAATAGCCTAATTTATAAGTTTCACTTACAAATAAGAGTGTTTAGAAGCTATTTGGAAGGCTGCAATGAGTTTTCGGCCAACCCTTGGGTTTTCGGCCCAATGAAGATCTTGGTGTTCTTTGTGAAACCAAGGAGATTCAAGTGTTTTCGGTTAAAGATCACCAAAGAGGAAGGTGATAGCTTGAATAAATGATGAACACTCGATGTTGTTAGTAAGATCCGAAAGAGATTCAAGTCTTTTTCGGATGATAGTTGAGAGAGAATAAGGTGTTTTCGGTTAAGGATCTTGAGATGAAAAGTTGAATTTTTGGTTAGAAGTGTAGAAGTAAGGAAGTGATTTCGGTTCCCCCATATGTATAGGACCGAAATCGTTGATGGGACACATTCGTTGGTTTGCGCACCGAGAAGATAAGACCGAAGTTTGCGGCTGCGAACCGAGGGTTTGCGGCTCGGACGTTTGCGGTCCGAAGTCTTTAAGCCATGCGAGGGTTTTCGGTTCCTGCGAGCCTTCTCGGATTTTGGGTGGTTTTGTTTCTTAACTACTCAACAATTTAAAACATGGTTTATACACATAGAGTTTATTATTCTAACAATAATAATCAAACGAAGATGTTGACTTTTAATTCACATGTTTGACCTTAGATGACCCAAGTTTGACTTTGGTTGACTTTTACCCTATTGAAAATAACGGGTTGTCACAGATAAGGCCACTAGCTTCAAAGTACGTAACGAATTTAATAATGTCATCCATCATTAAGTTCCAGTAACTCTTAAGGAACTTAAATGTGAAACCGTAGGGACCAGGTGCCTTTTCACTCCCATATATCCAAATCACTTCTTTAATTTCATCAAGGCAGACATCACGTTCTAAAAAGGTTCAATTAGTAGGATTTAATTTTTTGAAGTTAGGGTTCAGTATAGGGAGTCGAATAATGTAAGATTCACGAAATTTGTCCCCAAAGAATCGACAGGCTTCAGACTTGATAGCTTGGAGATCAGTAACCCAATGTCCAATAACCAATAGCCCGTAAATTCAAGTTCTCCTATTTTTTATTTTTAAAGAACTATGAAAGAACCTCGAATACTCATCTCTATCCGATAACCATTTGACTTTTGCTTTTTGTTAGATATCTGGCATCACCATCTTTCCAAGCTCAAGGATCTTTTGTTTTCCATCACGCAAAGACTGCTTTTCATGGTCTAAAAGACGTCTAGTCTCTGCAGCTAGATTAAGCTCAAACACCTTATTTCTCGTAACATGGAGAACAACATTCTATTTCTCTAACTCCACCTTTCTCCAGTCTCTTATTGCATTTTTAACCACTCGCAACTAGTTTCAAAGAATCATATCAGTAGAAATAACACCGTTACACTCAGATCAAGCTTTCGAAACCACCTGATCGATACCATCTCATAGGAGCCAAGAATTGAACAAGCGAAATGGTGGCGATCCAAAATCAACATATTTTGTTTAGAGAATGACGGGAAAGCAGTCACAAAGTTCCTAAGGAAGGGCAATAACAGAAGCTAAAGGGAAGGAGTTCAAGAAATTGGGGGACACCAGCACAGAGTCTAACTTATTGAGCTTAAACTCATCATCACAAAAGTATGTAAATCTCCTACCATCCATATTGAGATCAAGAAGGCCAACATCACGAATAAACTTATTAAAAGAGGAAGCGATGTAGGGTCAGAAGGAAGAGTTAAGCCTCTCATCCGGGTTCCGAAAAGCATTGAAATCTCCTAAAAACACCCACGTCCAAGATCTGGAGGCCATCAAATTCACCAAATTAGACCACAAAATCTTTTTATCCGTTGGGTCATGGGGATCGTACACTTTAATGAATATTATCTCGCCTGTGATCCTATTCCAGTAACCCATGATGGCAAGGAAAAATTTAGACTTAATACAAGCAATTTTGGAAACACATTATTGTCCCAGATGCACACCATACCACTAGACCTACCCGAAGCCTCAACGAAGTTGAACTCAAAATCCATGGAATCCCACCACGCTTTGATGTCAGATACTGCGATAAAGATTAACTACGTTTCCTGTATACCACATAAATTCAACTTATGTTCTCTTTTCAGCCACCTGGTCGACTCAAGTTTATGGGATTGCCCCATACCCCTAACATTTATAGTTAATAAATTCAATGGGTAACATTTTGAACACCATCACCAAAAAAGACCCTCTTAATAACGCTATTCCCTTCCTCAATTTGAAATCCCACCTGATTTTCAATCATAACAGTACGATCAAGCTCAGAATTGGAGGAATTCGAGGACTCCTTATCGATTTCAACGACTAGGGAGGAAATATAAGGAGGGTTCATATTAAAATCAATGGAAGGGGAAGACAATCGATTAGAGACTCCAAAATGTTCGAGTATCGTTAGTGCAGTTGATGTAATTTTCCTGGAAGAAACTTTTAGAATTTTCTTTTATGTTCATCTTCGTTTAAGGGTATAGTTACCTAGTTCAAATTTCAGACTACTACCAACATTAATTGGGCCTGAATTGAGACACAGACTACCAGAAGGAGAGCCATCAAGAAAAAGGGAAGTATTTGGGTCAAGACGCTTGCCCACAAACTCACCATCCAGAGAGTCAACGCATATACAACTGTCTTTGGGATTGTGAGCATAATTAATTCATCCCTTGTGTAGATTTGAGTTCCGATGGAACACTTCGTCTTCCTCATGAAGGAACAAAGCCATATCAGCTACCACCGACGGAGCTTGTACGACCAGCGCACCATTGGGGGGGATTTCTCCCTCTTCAAGGTGCAAAACCTCTTGTTGACAGGAAACAAATTCATCATCTTTCGAGTCGTCAACTTCAGAATCAGCCTTATTAGTGAATGGTCTTAATGGTCTAAACGGAAACCACTCATCGTGTATCTCAGAGACACCAATTTTGAGCTTATCATCAACCAGAATATTGATCTCTTCATTGATTTTTTTTCCTAGATGCAGTTAGAATGCAGACATTTCCATGATAAATATCCATGCAATTCCATAAAGACTTTGCATGAACAACAACTTTCCCAAAGTTGCTAGCAATGGTGACGAGATTTGATTCATCCCAGACATCGATGGGGATTATGATTATCTTTAGCCATGCGATACGCTCAAACCTCATATTCAGTTTCCTCCATATATCCAGATTGATAAGCCACTTCATCCAAATGCATTTATTTACACAGAAAACATCAACAACTTTACTTGAATTGAACTTGATGATCACGTACAATCCGCTAACATATTTGATTTCCACTAAATCATATCCATTCATATCCAAAACTGACGGAAAGTTATAAAGCAAGTCAAAATCTCTAACCACTCCCACCAGTGTCGCATTATTGATTCATTCAGAGTTCTGAGCATAACTATAAAGCTTGATCAATAGAGTGTGTTCAACCAAATCTTGGCCCTTGATGACATCGGCAAAGGACATGGAACCTCTAGGTTTGGAGGGGGGATGGGGGGATACAGGATGAATGATTGCGAACCGCCGATCGAGTTCCGTCGACGGAGGAACATTACGAGGGTGCTTTGAGACATTAGATTTAATGTTTTTCCACTAGAGAACCACCTCGTAGAGGGCATTTCCATCTCTACATGTTAGGCCATCTCCAATGCATTGAACTCTTAAGAGTTCAATGGATTGCCACATCAGCATTCCACTAACTATACCATTTAACCCATTAAACTCTACACTCCATTAAACTCTTAAGAGTTCAATGGATTTCCACATCATCATTTTAATTATTTTTTTATAAATAATATTAATAAATAAAACTAGAATATTACATTAATTAGAAATTCAAAGTTACAATTACTAAATATTAATTAAAGATTACAACTTAGAAATTAAAAGTTACAAATAATATACTAAATAAAAAGTACAATATCTAAAATACAAATTTTACATCATATTGTATTTTATTTTAATCTCGTCACAACGGTTTCTCCAAATTTCACGTCCATCTTTCGACATGGTACTGGGATCCATGAAAATGATTGAAATTTTATCATTTTTTTACCTTTTCTTCTTTAATTTTCATCTTTCTTTCTTTCAATGCATTCTTCATATCCAAAGAGTTTTGATAGCATTCAAAAGTCTTTTTATTTTCTTCTATATGTTTTTCAAGTATTTCATCAAGCCTATTACCAGATGACGAAGTGGAATTGGTAGCTTTCCCTTTTGCTGCTTTTTTTGTTGCATTCCTACCAATTGGACGAGTTGTAACTTCATCATTATCCAGGTTAATGAAAGATTCTATATTTGATGAAGACATAGATGCCCCAGATGCAGTGCTTGAACCTTTCCATTTCTGTTCATTTTTAACGATATTCCAAATATGTTCGTGCCTAAAATCGGCACCATATCTAGCATGATAATGCTCAAAAGTTGCACGTTTGAGATCACCCTCAGACCATCCACTGAGGTGTTGACTTTTCAACACTATATACATTTGATTAAATGCAACTGCAAATGGGTTCATGTAATGGCAATGCGTTTTGAGGTTGGCTTGAGTTCTTGCAACGTTCGACGTGTTGCTTTTTTCATAGTACGCACTAATTCGTCGCCAGAACTCTTTATCACGTTGTTGACTTCCAGTAATGCTATCTTCTGAAATTTGTAGCCAAGATTTTGTCAACAACATTTCTTCTTCTTTGCTCCAGTAGGTTTTTTTATTTTTTTGTCGTTTGTTGGTAGGAGTTTCTGTTGGTGTTGGCTCATTTTCTGGAATATGGGGAGGATCCGGGCTGGCAGAATCTGGGTATGCATTTTGGTATGAATGTTGTGAATGATTATTTGGATTTGGGTATGGATATTGTGGATAATTGTTTGGACTTGGATATGGATATTGTAGATGATTGTTTGGATTTGGGTATGGATGTTGTGGATGATTGTTTGGACTTTCGGGATCATAAGAAGATAACAAGTGTGTATAGTAATTCGGATTCATGATTGGTGTATCAGATGGTTGGTAGGTGTGAATGAGAATATAATATGTTCGTCTTTATTTATAGAGTTGAACATCTTGTATGCATTTGCCTTTAATTTGAATTTCATTTGACTTTAACTTGAATTTCACTTTACTTTAATTTGAATTTCATTTGACTCTAATTTCAATTTCATTTGACTCCAATTTCAATTTCATTTAACTTTAATTCGGATTTCATTTCACTTTAATTTCAATTTCATTTGACTCCAATTTCAATTTCATTTAACTTTAATTTGGATTTCATTTCACTTTAATTTGAATTTCATTTTGCTCTATATTTTTGCTATAAAAGAATACAACATTTTTATTATTTCATACCTACCAATTCAAACTATTTCTTATATCTTTCTTATACGATGTCATCATCATCCTCAGATGATTCTGCTTCTGAATTCATAATCAACCATCTCACAAGTATTCTACATTTCAACTATATAAGGAGCTAAAATGCTTGGAAGCAGAACAGTCAGATGCTGAAAGTTCAAGACGTCCTGGGCAAAGTCGAAGATATATAGATAGAAATCGTGAAGAAGGGCATAAACGTCTTTGGAAAGACTATTTCGATGAGCATCCTGTTTTCCCACCTCAAACGTTTAGACGAAGATTTCGAATGAGGCGAGAACTATTTGTTCAAATAGTTAACGGTATCTCTAACCATTCTATTTATTTTCAACAAAGAAAAGATGCTTTAGGAAACAATAGTCTTTCCCCTTTACAAAAATGCACTGCTGCCATACGCCAATTGGCATATGGCACAACTGGTGACCTCTTTGATGAATACATACGAATTGGTGAATCAACTTAAATCGAATGTCTACAAAACTTTTGTCGATGTGTGATTGAGGTTTATTCAAGCCATTATTTGAGAAAACCTAATGCTAATGACATCCAAAATTTAGTACAAAAACATTCAGAAAAGCACGGGTTTCCTGGTATGCTTGGAAGTATTGATTGCATGCATTGGCCTTGGAAAAATTGCCCTGTTGCATGGCAAGGTCAATATACTCGAGGTGATCAAGGTTGTCCAACAATTATGTTGGAATCAGTTGCATCACAAGACCTTTGGATATGGCATGCATATTTCGGGGTTGCCGGGTCTAACAATGACATTAATGTACTTAACCAGTCACCGTTATTCAACGATGTATTACAAGGTTATGCTCCTGAATGCAATTTTACTGTTAATGGAAGAACATACACAAAAGGATATTATCTTGCAGATGGTATATATCCTGAATGGGCTACAATGGTTAAAAGTTTTCCACATCCGGCTGACCCAAAAAGGATCAAGTTTAAAGAAATGCAAGAGGCTGCAAGAAAGGATGTGGAGAGAGCATTTGGTGTTCTTCAATCTCGTTGGGCAATTGTACGAGGTCCAGCAAGATCTTGGCAACTTAAAAACATAAAGGATATAATGTCTACATGCATTATATTACATAATATGATCGTAGAAAATGAAGGAAATGCAATTAGTAATTGGTCAGATGATGTTGATCCTCCTATACGTGTGAATCGAGGACCTCTCGAAGAAGTTCAATATCAAATTCAAAGAAACTCTGAACTACGTGATAATGCAGTACATCATGCTCTTCGACATGATTTAATGGAGCATATTTGGGAACGTTTTATTAATATGTAATATCACTATGTTGTATTATAATAAATAAGATGTTATCTTTTTAAAATGTTTTTAAGATTTATATATTTTTTTTATTGTTTATAATAAAAAAATATGAAGTAAGTTAATAAATTAAATTATTGAATATAAAATAAATATATATATATATATATATATATATAGTTTGTTTATTGCGAAAAAAAAATTAAATATTACTTTCTATATAAATTGAAAAAGAAAAACAAAAAAATAAATAAAAAAAAAGAAAGAAAAAATAAGTTTTTATAATAAAATGAGAAAAAAAAGAAAGAAAAAATAAGTTTTTATAATAAGTTGAGAAAACTAAAAAAAAAAAAAAAAAAAAAAAAAAGTCATACTAGTTGAATGGGGATTAAACCCCTATTCAATCAACCCACTCCACAATGCTTTGTATATTCAACTCCCACATAAGACTTTTTTACCCATTCAACTCTCCATTAAATGACCATTGGAGATGACCTTAGGGGTATTTGTTTCGACTAAGTTCATTATAATAGACCGTTGTTAAAAAAAATCCGCTTCAAGATAGTTTCAATTTATTGCTATATAAACTATGTCAAATTATTTCTTATTCTCATATAAGAGTTTGACGTTTTTTTCTACTGTTAAAGTTTTTTAAAATAACTGTATTTTAGTTGTATAAATTTTAAATTTTGCCACTAATGACTGTGGCCGGATAGACAATGATGGCATTTGTGTTATCTAAAATTGTTAAAATCAAGTATCAAGACTTACTCACTAGACCGGCTATTTCTAGGTAACTAATACATTCTCCTAAAAAAACAATTTATATTTTAGTGAAACTTTTCACCTTGTTACAAGACATATTATTGGTCGAAATAAAAAATAGCAATGAGACAAAGATATGTGCTTTATCTCAAATAATAAAATATAAATACATGTAATGTATGCACATAAAGAGGATACTTCGATAAATTATAGATATAATTACTAAAGCATCATGTTACTTTTGTACAAAGATTTCATAATTCAATACATTTCAATAATTAATAATTAACAATGAAAGTGGAATATTTGGCACACTTAACCACAAACAAGACAATGCAATGGCATAATTGAGCATCACATGCTTTCCTCTTTTTCAGTTGAGTATTTAAGTTTTATTTTTATTTTTGTTTTTTACATTGCATAGTAATTTATAGGTATGAAATTCAAATGACATGAACTCTCTCTCTCTCTCTCTATATAATATATATATAATAGATATATATATATATATATATATATATATATATATATATATATATATATATATATATATATATATATATATAGAGAGGTGGGTTCAAATATTTTTCATATCTATTGTGTCCTAATTTAGTAAAAATTAAATTGTTATTTAATCAAATAAATATAGATATTAAATGATTTCCATAATTATATGTATATTATTATATTAAATGATATCTATACTTATAATCATTTTTTATGAGAACTAATTAAATTTGTCTAATTTAATAAAAATTAAATTGTTATTTAATCAAATAAATATAGATATTAAATGATTTCCATAACTATATGTATATTATTATATTAAATGATATCCATACTTAGAATTTTTTTTATGAAAACTAATTAAATTTGTCATTAATGTCAACAATAATATTATTTCGGAATGAATTCGTAAGTAAAAGAGTGAGAGTGTATTCTAGCATAATAAGAGTGCATTCTAGTAGAATACACTCTTATTCTTCATATTTCATGCAACTTTATTGTATTTTAAGTGAGTGAGTGTTGAAACAAAATACGAACTCATACATAAAATCTAGATACAAATTCATTCTGAAAGAATGTTATTGTTGACAGTTTTGACAAATTTAATTAGTTTCCATAAAAAGAGAATTATAATTATGGATATCATTTCATATACATACAATTATGGAAATCATTATCTATATTTATTTAATTAAATAATTATTTAATTTTACTAAATTCCTATTGTTACATTCTAAGACACAATAAATATAAGAAAACATTAACCTAGCCCTATATATATATATATATATATATATATATATATATATATATATATATATATATATATATATATAATGTCAAAATTTTTAAAATTGTCTTTATATAGTACTAAATATAAAGAAAACCTTCTTAATCTTTAGTTTATAAGTGAAACTTTGATAGTAGGCTAAAAAAAGTGGTAAGCTGTACAATTTTAACGTTCCACGTCAATCTATCTCAAAGCCCATATAAAAAGTCAATTACATAACACTAAACATAAAAGAGTTTGAATCATAAACCTCATATGCGTAATTCCACACTTCAATCGCTAAAGTCTCATCGTGTGGACAAGAGTATAATAAATTTCACATATAAGCATCAATATGTCAAAAGAATGCCTTCATAGACCTTGTCCACAAATTTACAAAAAGTAATAGCTAGAAAATCTATAAACACACATACTTAGTCTATTTATTTTTCAGTTGTATGGGAATAGAAAGTTTAATCTCAATATTTGGATCAAGAAGTTGTGATTCAGCACGTAGATTTTTCTAGTCCATTTGCCAATCTTATAAAAGTAAAACAATTTATAGTAAACCGATTTATATAAACTGCACAATTTATTTTTTGTTGAATATTTCTTTAGAATCAGAATACTTCATCAAACCAATTCATATAAATTGACATATGCTTATAGCATAAAGATTCATCTTTGTTATAACATTAACATATAGGTTAGTTTACCCCCCTTTGAAATATATATGTTGTTTTTAACACCTTTTGAAAACAAGTATTTTGTTAATAACAAGTATTGTAAATATGATTTAGCTATGAAATCTTAAGAGAGAATTTCATTGATTGAATTGAAAAACCATACAGATACATTACAAGAACTGATTAAATAGAAGCTAACAAACAACTAACTTTAGCTACTAACTACTAACTTTCGTAACTAACATTACAAGAAATGACTAAAATGCCCTTAGGCTAACACCCCCACCATTTCAATCTAGGGATATGAAGTAAATCCCAAATTGGATAAAACAACTTTATGTTTGTGACCATTTACGGATTTGGTAAACACATCAACCAACTGATTTGAAGTAGAAACATACGATAAAAACAATATGACCATCTTGCAACTTTTGTCGAACATAGTGACAATATACTTCAATATGTTTGGTTCTCTCATGGAATACAAGATTTTTAGCAATATACACAGCTGCAAGGTTATCACACTTCAATGGAATAAGTGTGAGTGTAACATCCTGTTTCGAGAAGTTTCTTATTTCATGATTGTGGACAATAAATGGATCGAGTAAAGGCA